AATACATAATTATTTTAAAATAATATATATATATATATATATATATATATATATTTAAAATATAACATTAAATCGAGCTTGAACGACTCGAAGTATTGTAATATCTCATTTTTTATTTATAATAAATAAATAATAAATTAAAATAATTAAAATATTATAAGAAAGATATTTATTTTAAAAATAAAATGGGGAGAGGTAATTTAGGAGGTTGTGGGTTAGACTTTGAGACCAATTTAGAGACTAATTAAAAAGAAGAAAGAGGAAAATGATTAGATTATTGTACATTTCTAAAACCTAAAATGCTCGTAGGAGAAAAACTAGGGTAAACCACTAGAGGAAGCATGGATTAGAGTTCAAAGTTACAAAAAGCCCATTGTTCAACATAACCATCACTCCAAGTAGAGGAGTGTGATTGTCGAGTCCTTTGGGCATATATGAGAGATCAGGATAGAGAGGTGATTGCTAAGTCTCCTAGATTGTCTGTTTGATGGAAAATTCATGTATATGAGATCAATTGTAGATGTATTGTTGTTTTATGCTAAGATTCTTATATTTGTTATGAATTAATCATTTGGATGATGAATTTGTGCATCTTGAGGATTAGTGGTGTTACATGTGAAATTGAGGGTTTTGGGATTGAAATATGATGATTTGATGATGTTCTAATGTTGCTTGATTGTGGATTGAATGATTGAAAGCATTGTCAAATTACTATAAAAAATTACTAGATTTTCTACAACAATTTGTAATATAGGAAATAACTTAGGTCTTTTTTGTTGAAGAATGATTAAATTTAAAATTTTCACGCAATTGTTAGCAAGAGAATTTGGAATAGCGAAACAATGATCAATAATTAAAAATGCAAACAAAAAAATTAAATGGAAATTTCAATAAGTAATTACATTGATTCAAGATTTTAATTTTTACGACAAAATTTTCACAATTCAAAATACAATTCAATTTTAATCAACATAAATCAACACGAACATGATTAAAAAAAAATATATCTAGATCTAAAGAACTTCATAAAAATGTGAAACACAATCGCGATCTCACAATTTTTATGAAATTCAAGAACGATAAACGATTGATTTAAGTAATTTAGGTTATTTTAGGTCTAGATCTAAATTTAGATCTAGATCCAAAATTAATTATAAATTTCGATTCTAGATCTAATTAAAACAAAATTCATAATCATTAATGAAAACCAATGGAGAAATGATTGTTGAATCTTCTCCATTAGTCTCCTTGATGCTCCCTATCTTCTTTTATGGTGAATCCAAGCTTCAAAACTCAAAAATGATGGTGAAGATGAGAGATGGAGGCATGCCACTTCTAAGGTGGAAGATAAGCAAGAATGGAGGACCTTGCCATAAGATAAAAGGTCTTAAGGAGAAGTGTCTCTAAGAGAGAACTAAGACTTTTAGAAGAGAGAAAACTCAAGTTTGAATCTCATAAATGCTAAAAAATGACTGAAATATACAAGAAGGGTCCAATATATAGGGTTTAGTAGCTTGTGGTGCAAGTTACTCTAATCTAGGTTAAAAATGACCTATGTTAGGTTAACTTGAACTTCAAGGCAACTAACCCTAGTCTAGTTAACCATTTAGCCAACCTAAGCTCCACATGTCACTTTCTTAGATCTAGAATAACCAATAAAAGCTTGCCATGTGGCAACACAAGGAAAATGTGATTCATGTCACCATCTAAGATTTAGAAGAGCCAATGGGAGCTTACCATGTGGCATGGCATGTTTGGTGTGACTAGACAAGATTATGTGATGTTGCCTCCTTGAATGGCCTAGGAACACCTTGTTCCCTCCATGTTGGACGTCCAACACACCAAGTGTGTTGTGCAAGTGGATGTCCCACATGGATCATGGTGAGGTGTTCTTAGGCCTTCCAAACCCAATATGTACAACAAGCCATTTCTAGTTGCACCCATCCTAAATTACTACTTACACCCTTAAAATAAAAAATACAAGGACATAAATTCCTACATTACTTGACCAAAATACAAGGTCAAATAAAAAAAAAACATATTTACCACAAAGAGAAAAAATGGACTAAGTAATAAGCCTATAGCTCAAAAGGAGCTTAGACTTTCTGCCTTCACCATGAGTCCATTCCTCTTGCATCCTCCTTAACATTGCCCTTGTGATAGGTCTTGTGCTAGGAAATATGTCATCAATCATGAAAACAAAAATTAAATCTAGAAAGGAGAAGAAAATAAAGAGAATTCATATGGTAGATATAGATCAGGAACTTGAATTTTACCATAATTCATGAAGCCTTAAATCGAATGAACGAATTAGCTACACATCTCCATCGAGTTGTTGCAATCAATTCGTGTAAAAGTATGGAGATAAAATTCAGAGAGAGAGAAAGAGAGAAAAAGAAAGAGAATTTAGAGAAACTTGTAAAGGAAACAACTTTAAAACTCAAAAAATATGAGAGAAAGTGTACATAACAAGTCTTATAACACCTATTAATAGATCAATATACTGGGCCTAATCAAAATATTTACAAGGCCCAACCCACTTATTAACTAATTAATGAGGTTAGACTACTAATATAATAAGTTCCTAAAGTAAACCTAAAATGAAGTGCAGAGACGTAACATTGAGACACATTTTTAGACCTTTAAACGTTTGAGTTGAGTAAAACTTTTAATAGA